ATTTTATGGCATTGCACATAAAAGCAGAATTGTCATGGCTACATACAGCAACATCCAATGCTCCCTCCATCTACTACTCCTTAAAGTGGACCTGTTACTTCTCTGGAAATCACACTGTTTAGTAAAACATTCATCGCCTGGAAATAACCTAGAACTTGTGTTATTCTTTTTAATGTTAGGATGCATTTTGTCTTACAATGTATATTAAAGATTTAAACAAAATAAAGTACAACTAGGCAGAGTATACCAATGTAAAAACTCTGACCAGGAGTACCGAAGAAGGGCTAAGGGGGTAGCAAAACGGGCATAACCTTATATACAAAACAGCATAAAATAAACTATAGTAAGAGGAAAAATTCCCTAAAAGGAAAAGAAATCCTCCACTAGAACTACCCCCAAATTAACAATATATGTGTGATATAATCACATAAAAATACATATGTAGAAAATAACAATAGCCTTTATTAAACACCACTTAAATATCCAAACCAAAAGAAAAGTAAAAAATAATAAATGAAAAATGCAGACTAATCTCGGCTAAAGAAAGCTGCTGAGCACATCAAGACCAAATTAAATATAGTGAGTACAGATAGGGTTGTTACATAACACAGTGAGTCTAAACAATGTAACAACCTCTGACAAAAAGATTCAAATGGCAACAGCAGCTTATAGAAAAAGCCGAAATAGTACTCAGCTGTAACCCTAAATATATCTAAATAGGAGGCACTGTATAATATACTATCTAAATAATAATGCTAGTGAAGGAACCCTTGCTTACTAAAACACAAAAAAATAGATAACAGATCTATTGGTGATATCCAGAAATCGAAAGGATAGTAAGATGGGTAGTAAAGAAAACTGATATAGAAAGTGAACAGCAAACAGGAGGTAAATCCTCCACTGTAATTCTCTAGAGTAAGAGTGTATATGCCCCAATGATACCCATTGACCGGCCGGTCATATGTAAATATGGGTACAGCTAACGTACATACAAGTGTGTATTAATGTAGTATAACACAAATGTCCGCATCAAATATTGCCCAACGCGCGTTTCGGCGGGTAAACCGCCTTTTTCAAGGGCATCCTGTACAGTTTTCTTTACTACCCATCTTACTATCCTTTCGATTTCTGTATATCACCAATAGATCTGTTATCTATTTTTTGTGTTTCAGTAAGCAAGGGTTCCTTCACTAGCATTATTATTTAGAAAGTATATTATACAGTGCCTCCTATTTAGATATATTTAGGGTTACAGCTGAGTACTATTTCGGCTTTTTCTATAAGCTGCTGTTGCCATTTGAGTCTTTTTGTCAGAGGTTGTTACATTGTTTAGACTCACTGTGTTATGTAACAACCCTATCTGTACTCACTATATTCAATTTGGTCTTGATGTGCTCAGCAGCTTTCTTTAGCCGAGATTAGTCTGCATTTTTCATTTATTATCTTTTCTTTTGGTTTGGATATTTAAGTGGTGTTTAATAAAGGTTATTGTTATTTTCTACATATGTATCTTTATGTGATTATATCACACATATATTGTTAATTTGGGGGTAGTTCTAGTGGAGGATTTTTTTTCCTTTTAGGGAATTTTTCCTCTTACTATAGTCTATTTTATGCTGTATTAAAGATTTAGCAAGTTATATGACAATACAGTTTAATCCAGCAATAAACAGGACACACAACGTAAACAAGAAACATACTTTAGTTTTCTCCCCTTTCAACTAACTATGGCTTTGATCTGATAAGCTTTCCCAATGATTCAATAATCAAAATGATTTATCTACACTAGTGAGCATTGAAGGGTCGGTCTAAACACCAAAACCACTCTAATCCCAAACGACAGAAAACTGAGCAATGATCCTGCAGGAGAATGATCTATACACCAAAACTGCTTCATTAAACTAAACTTTTTTTCTGCAACCCTAGCCACACCTCCAATGGCTGTCAATCACATAGATACCTTACACACTTTCCGAAAAGAAAGACATATTCATTAATTTAGAAGTTTTTTTTACGCCTTCCTGTGTTAGTTGCATGCTAGTGTAGCCAACTGTTTGAGATTAGTTACAGTTGGATAAAGAAAGACAAAATAAAAAACTTTTCAGAAAGAATTATTCCCTGATATTCTACTCAATGACCCATTCCAGAACAATGTAAATACCTTATTTAAATAATTTGTAAAATATTCCATATTTCATTGTTTATTATTGTTATAGTTGTTTTAATAATATCTATTTTTATGTATTTTTTTTCCATAGCCTTCAAATGCACTCACAGTACACATAATGCATTTTTTATGAGAAGCATGTAAATGTGTTAACGGGAAGAGGTGGTGTGCCCTGAAAGAGATTGGGTTCTCTGAAAATAGTGCTCTGGTAGAAATGGTGGGGGTGGTGTGGCTAGAGCAGTGTTCCCCAACCCAGTCCTTGTGGACCACCAACACTGGGTTGAGGAACACTGGCCTAGAGGATGCAGAGTGCCCTGGTGGAGATGGTGTGCTCTGGAGGATGCAGAATGCCCTGGTGGAGATGGTGTGTCTTAAAAGGAGTTGGGTTCTCCAGAAATAATGGAATGCTCTAGTAGAGATGGCGGGCGTGGTGTGCCCTGGTGGATGCGGAGTGCCCTGGCAGAGATGGCGTGCTGTGGACGATGCAGAGTGCCCTAGCAGAGATGGTATGCTCTGGTAGAGATTGCAGGCATGATGTGTCCTGGAGGACACAAAGTGCCCTAGCAGAGATGGTGTGCTGTGGAGGATGTGGAGTGCCTTGGTGGAGATTATTTGTTAAAAAGGATACCGAGTGCCCGGGTGTAAATAATTTGTATTGGATAATGCTGAGTGCCCTGGCAGAGATGGTGTGATGTGGACAATGCAGAGTGCCCTAGCAGAGATGGTGTGTCTTGAAAAGGGTTGGGTTCTCTGGAAATAATGGAGTGCTCTTGTAGAGATGGCAGGCGTGGTGTGCCCTGGTGGATGTGGAGTGCCCTGGCAGAGATGGTGTACTGTGGAAAAAGTGGAGTGCCCTAGCAGAGATGATGTGCTATGGAGGATGTGTAATGCCCTGGTGGAGATTATTTGTTATGGAGGATGCAGAGCACACTGGTGGAGATAATTTGTATTTGAGGATGCGGAGTGCCCTGGTAGAGACTATGTGTTTTAAAGGATGCAGAGAGCCCTGGCAGAAATGGAGTGCTCTGGAGGAGGTGAAGTGTCCCAGTGTGAGATGGTGTGCCCTGGAGGATGCAGAGTGGCCAGGATGTGGAGTTACCTGATAGAGGTGGTGAGCTGTGGAGGGTGCAAAGTGCCCTGAGATGGCATGCCCTGAAATGGGTTGGGTTCTCTGGAAAGTATGGAGTGACATGGAGGAGGTGCGGTTTTCTTGAAGAGGGCATGTGTTTTGGAGGAT